CAACCTTCAGCCGCTGTTCTTCCGCTTGACAATTGACTCTGCTACCGAATTTCTGTTCGGCGACAGTGTAGACTCTCAGCTCTCCAGTTTACCTGATTACGTCTCAAGCAAACCCCCAATGGCTGTTAGCGAACAGGACTTCGCCGTTTCTTTTGACAAAGCCCAGGGTACGATCGCTACAGCTTCACGCTTGGGTGAAGGGTACTGGCTTGTCTATGATAAGACATTCAGAGAGCACTGCAAACGCTGCCATGACTTCATCGACCACTACGTCAACCTTGCGCTCTCGAAAGAAAAGAAGTCTACCCAAACGACATCGCATGGAAAAGAAAAGTACGTGTTCTTGGACGCTCTTGTCGAGTCTTCTCGCGATCCTGTAGAACTTCGCTCCCACATGATCTCGATTCTTCTTGCTGGCCGCGACACCACCGCTTCCCTACTCTCCTACGTCTTCATGCTTTTCGCCCAGCATCCCGACGTCTATGCCAAATTGCGCACAGTCATCATAGAAGAATTTGGCACCTACAGCAACCCGAAGAATCTTACATTCGCGAATCTGAAAGGGTGCAACTACCTCCAATGGATCCTCAACGAGACGTTGCGTCTCTACCCTGTGGTCCCCGTGGACGGTCGCCGCGCCCTTCGCGACACCACACTTCCCACGGGTGGTGGCCCAGACGGGACAGCGCCGGTTTATGTTCAGAAGGACGAGCAAGTCGACTACAGTGTATACATTATGCACAGGCGCAAAGACCTCTGGGGCCCTGATGCTGATGAGTTCAAGCCTAGCAGATGGAATGGCAGGAAGTCAGGATGGGAATATTTGCCATTCAATGGAGGTCCTCGAATCTGTATTGGCCAGCAGTTCGCTTTGACAGAGGCCGGGTATGTAATTACCCGGTTGGCGCAACGCTTTGAGAAGATCGAGGGTGTTGGCAATACCTGGGAAGCGCCGGAGAAGGGCGGGCTGGGATGGGTGAGACATGCACTGAGCTTGACGGCATGTCCTTCCGATGGTGTCAAGGTGAGGATGAAGGAGGCTCAGGACTAAGTAGAAAATGTGCTAGTACTGCTATCACTTGTTCTTGAATGAAAACGAATTTGTCCTCAAGATGTCTCATCACTAGCCTATATTGACAGAACTTTGAACGGCGAAGATTGTCATGGAGAGGTGGTTGTGGTGGTGTGATAGTGATACCTAGTCGGAGAACCAGTGGCGGTGCGTCAGTTGTCATTCGACAGGGATATGCCGGCTACCAGCCGAGGGGACCTTCAATCTTCAAATCTTTGGACGGCACTTTTTTATCATCCATCACCAACGCGTCGCCAACGATGCGTAGAGCACATGGCTTTCGGGTATGTATTAGGTCTCTAATGGGTTCTGTTCGCAATTCACGTCTAATTGTCCTAGGTATCGTCCACCCGCGACGTCTGCGTCTTCTGCGCCACTCGTCAACTGGCACTCGCACATACATCTTCGGTCTCGACGCAACGGAGGCAATTGAACTCATCAAGTAGGGCTCCCCAATCAGCCGAAGGCATCATCTACAAAGATGCAAACCCAGCCCCAAAGCCGATGTCGCAGGCGCAGCGAATGCGACAAGCCTTAGCAGCGAGCGCCCAATTCACCCCTCCCGCGCAGCCGCAGGGAGGTTATATGCCACCAGGCCAGAGAAACAAGCCATCATTCGGCCAACAAGCACCCCAAGCGCAACGGCAGCCCCCACCCGACCGAAGGCCAGTGAACCGAGGGGGTGTCTTCGATGGACCGGGCCGGAATCAGAACAGGGACAGGTTCGCCCCTATCGCACGAAGAGATGGCGGGACAAGCAGATCGTCAGATTTACGGGCTTCGCCACAACCTCGGTACAAAGTCAATATGGACTCAAGGCTGCAAGTGAATACACCCGCGTTTAGTGCAGGGCATTTGCGGCGGCAGAACGAACCACAACCGGGACGCGCCCAAATCAGAGTGAGCGAGCAATCGCCAGCAGCGAGGCCTGCTCCACGAAGAAGCATATTGGACCAAGACGAGATAGACAAATTACTAGGAAATACCGCCACTACAAGCAGCCGCCCGACGAAACCATTTCAGCCCTTCGCAAGGGACGCCAATGCGCAACGGAAGTGTTGGCATTGCGGGTCAACAGACCACATGAGCAACGCTTGTTCAGTGAAGCCGACGCTTCGTGAGCAGCCACAGCAGGAACAGCGAAAGACAATGTACCGACCGCCGCAATCTCAACGTCAAGAAGAATCTGTCGCAGATGCCGCAGAGGCCTGGGCAAGGAAACAAAAAGGGTTCATGCAGACTGGGCAGACCTCGCAGCCCCAAGAAGATGAGGATAGAAGAGCACGGAACGTAGAGCAAGATCGACGACGGAATCGATTCGAGCTTGATGAGCCCATGGAAGTCAAGAACCGATATGAGGAGCCTGAGCGGCGGAAGGGGGGCAACCGCGGTCGCCGTATACAACGAGATGTGGAAGAGGACGACGACCGTCCCTACATGAACAAACAGGAGCGCAAGCGGTTGCGAGCCGAAGCCAAGAAGGCTGCACAGGCTGCAAAGAATGGGCCTACTCCCATCTCTTTACCAGAGTACATCAGTGTTGCCAATCTTGCTGGAGCTCTGAGGCTGAGGGTCGAAGATTTCGTACAGAAATTGGAAGAGCTGGGCTTCGAAGAAGTGCAGAACGATCACATCCTCAACGCAGAACACGCTGGACTTATCGCGCAGGAGTACAACTTTGAGCCCATCTTCCAGGCTGAAGAGGACGACGGGGATTTATACCCTGCGCCAGCAGTTGAGCCTGAGGTCTATGCTGAGCTGCCTGCGCGTCCCCCTGTCGTTACAATTATGGGCCACGTCGATCACGGCAAAACTACTATTCTCGATTACATGCGCTCGACCAGTGTTGCTGCTTCAGAGTTCGGTGGCATCACGCAGCATATTGGTGCGTTCAGTGTGCCACTAGCGAACGGCAAGAAGATCACCTTCCTTGATACGCCCGGTCATTCTGCATTCGAGACTATGCGCGCTCGTGGTGCTAATGTCACCGATATCGTTGTGCTTGTTGTTGCCGCTGACGACTCGGTCATGCCACAAACTGTTGAGGCTATCAAGCACGCGCAGGCTGCTAAAGTGCCTATGATTGTTGCTATTAACAAGATCGACAAGCAACAAGCCGACCCAGACGCCGTCAAGCTTGACCTTGGACGCCATGGCATCGAGATTGAAGACTTTGGCGGCGACGTGCAAGCAATCTGTGTGAGCGGCAAGACTGGGCAAGGTATTCCCGAGCTGGAGGAGGCAATCACCACTCTCTCGGAAATGCTCGACCACCGCGCCGACCCTCAGGCCGCCGTGGAAGGATGGGTACTCGAAGGCACAACCAAAAAGTCTGGCCGCGTAGCCACCGTTCTCGTCCGCAGCGGTACCCTTCGCCAAGGCACTGCTCTCGTTGCAGGCACGACCTGGACGCGTGTGCGCAGCTTGCGCAACGAAGCTGGCGTGGTGGTCAAGGAGGTCGGACCTGGCATGGCTGTCGAGGTGGACGGTTGGCGCGATCAGCCCATTGCTGGTGACGAAGTCCTGCAAGCAAACGACGAACAACAAGCTACTGCTGTCTCTGAACTGCGCACTGAGAAGGTGGAAAGAGAACAAATGGCTCGCGATATGGAGGCCATCAACGAATCGCGCCGTCTCGAAGCCGAGCGTCGCGAGGCCGAAGAGGCTGCCGAGAAAGCGGCCGCAAATGGTGAAGAGGCTGTAGTTGAAGAAGTCAAGGCGGCAGGACCGGAAGTCGTGTCCTTCATTATCAAAGGAGATGTCTCCGGTTCTGTAGAAGCAGTCATCGACTCCGTCTCTGCCCTTGGCAATGCAGAAGTGTCCACTCGCATCTTACGCCACGGCGTCGGCCCGCCTTCAGAATTCGACGTCTCGCATGCAGCGGATGCGCAAGGCCACATCGTCAACTTCAACACATCGATCCCTAACCATGTTGCTAAGCTCGCCGAGGAGAAGGGCGTCATGATTCTGGACAGCAATATCATCTATCGCGTGGTAGAGAATGTGCGGGAGCTGCTGAGCGAGAAGCTAAAACCGAACGTCATTCAGAAGGTCACGGGCGAAGCTGAGATCGCCGCTGTCTTTGAGATTGGTCTTGGAGGTCGGAAGAAGATGAAGGTTGCTGGCTCCAAGGTCCGCAATGGACAGATTGATAGAGGGACGAAGGCGAGGGTGCTGCGTGGTGAGGTTGTTGTTCATGATGGTACGTTCCCCTCCCTCCTCCTCCTTCCCCTTCCTCATATGATTGCGTTTGTTGTAGTTGTTGTTAGAGCAATCGGCTAATTTGTTTGCGCAGGCGTAATCACTTCTCTCAAGAACCAAAAGAAAGACGTCGAGCAGATGCGTAAGGATACCGAGTGCGGTATCGCGTTTGATGAGTGGGAAGACTTCAAGGTCGGTGACAAGATTCAGTGCTATGAGGAGAAGCATGAGAAAAGGAGCTTGTAGGAATATTTTGTGCTGTTGAATGATGGGCGTGTATAAGATACTTCAACGAAGGGTGCTGCATTGCGTGGGTGTTTTGAAGAGATGTTGCATGTATATGTATAGATATCGGGGGACATGTATGAATAGATGTATATAGACACCAACGCAAATGTACATTATAATACCTATCACACATACCAATCATCTATCAGATGTGCTTGTTAATTGACCGTGCTGCTGTGGCTAGACTAGTTAGTCTCGTCGCTAAAATGTACAGTAGTGTCACTATGTATAGTTACCGGTAATGCTCCACTTCCACACAGATTTTCCAATATCACACACACACCGCCATGTCACAGCCCCACCCTACCATACCACTTAATATACCTCCACTTCTCTCCTCCTTATTTACCTCACCATTAGCATATATATGTATTAATTCGCAAATCTCCCATCAAACCGACCAATCACCATCTCGCATTTCCTTGCATGCGATCAAATATCTCAGATAGTATAGTGGTCAGTATTTCGGCTTGTCATCCCTGTGACAGCTCGCCGGAGGCCGGGGTTCGATTCCCCGTCTGAGAGATACGTTCTTTTTTTGCTTCTTGTGGAGTATTTGTGGTGGTGGTGGAGAGGAAGGGTGTTGTGGCTGGGTGGACTTGGGAAGGCGAAAGGCGGCGAATATCAAGCGCGTCCTATGGTATTTGTTTTTGATAGCGATGACTTATAAATGTCTTAGGATACGTTGCTTTCTGCTGTGTCGAGGTGTGTTGGTTGGGTCGTGGGTGCTGAGGTGTTGGTCAATGCAGGGTGTGGTGGACGATGGACATAGGACCAACGCTTTGATTAGCGCATCGTCCGGATCAATTCTATGGATTCGGATGATTGGTTTTGTTGATGGTAAGGATATCAACGGAAGGGTTGGATCCAGGGGTGCAGAGAGGTGTGTGTGATTGTGCAGTTAGTAGTTTTAGGGGTATACACATGTGTTAGGTAGGAAGTAAGCCATTTCAATTCATTCAGATACTACAGTTACATACAACTTGTGTTAACCTTTATTTTAATGTATTCACGTTCCTCTATTACGACGCCTCATCAATGAAAGGCGCTCGTGTGTTATTGGGTAGTGTCTGCATCCTGGCCCTCCGTAGGCAGAAGGCAGGCGTTTGCTGTTACTGAAGTAACTTCAGGATGCATGAAATCAAGAGTGATGGTTGGAAATCTCGTATCATTATGCGCACCATTGAACGCTTGCTAGAAATGCTACACCTAGATTCAACGAACAAGCCTTCCGTCTGCAATAAGTCGTCGTGCGCCAAACACCTTCAGAGTCTCATGACTCAACCTAAAATCTTTTTGTACATGCTGCGAAACTGTACAGTATATGCTATTATAGTACAAACATGCTGTCACCTGAATCCACTCTCTTTACTCCGCTTCCTTGTCCTCGAGTTTGATGCTCATACATGCTTCCGTAACTTGGCACCTGCCCATAACACTGGCGCAAAATGTCTTGACATGTTGAAGCCAAACAGGGAGGCAAACCAGAGTATTGTTGTGACGGCAATAGGGACGAGCAGAAGCTCTGTGTGGTGCAAGAACGGCAGGGCATTGTATCCCAGGAAGGTGATGATGAAGTAGTAGTTCAGGGCGAAGAGGTAGAGCGTATTCGAGAGGAGAATCGATACCCTGTATATATCAGTACTATCCTTATTTCAGAAAAAAGTGATCTTACCAGTGATCCGTCCCAACAAGCGGCATGCACAGAAATTGCACCACGTATAGAAACACCCACACCGGCACAAACGCTCTGATAGCTACATCCCAGCAGTACCCAAACTCCAACTCTTCTTTCCCTGCTCCTCCCTCAACTTCTCCTAGGTTATACAGTCCTCTCCTCCGTCCTGGTAGCAACGAGTTCCCTGGTCCCAAAAGGCGGCCGACAAGGAAGAAGAAGAGGGTGGCTGTGAGGAGGGAGAGGAGCAAGAAATGCCCAAATATGAAGACCAGCGTTATATGAAGAGTTTGTGTGAAGCCGTTGGCGTAGGCGAAGCCCCAGGCGAGAGATGTGAGGGTCAGCAGGAAGGAGAGGAGATACGTGAATGAAGGATCGGGCCGGTGGTAGGTTTTGGTTGTTTGTTTCTATACTGCTGTTAGGTTATGAAACAGACTGAGATATGATGTGCTTTACATGGTAGTATATTTGTCTGAAGACCTTCTTCGGTGCTATTATTAGGCTCATGATCTCCCATACAGCCATCTCGAAGTCCATTTGCGGAAACTTGAATAGGCGCTTGAAGAAGCGCGGCATTCGGGCTTCATTTCGCCGTGATGGCGTGGTTGCTCCGAAGTTTGAGGGCCCGCCCGTAGGCCGTGGCAGGGTAATGTTCATGGCGAATTCGTACTAAGAGGGTCCTTTCGGTAGGCAGCTGTCGTAGCTGTCAAGCGTGTGAAGCGCTACAATAGACGCTTATGAGGCCCCAAATGTGCGTTGCGGCGTGAATGTTGTCACCGTTGGAGCCAAAAGCCCATGATCGAATCAAAGGAATGGGGAGTGAATGGCTCTGTGCCGCAGTGAATGCAGACGGTCTCTTCGGTACCTGAACGATGACATCGCCGGAGCTCGAGCACCAGCCACAGACGCCAAGACGCGAGCTGCCCGCAGAACTAGGGTTCATCAACCTTTGCCCATCAATCTCACTGCAACCATTGTTCGACAACTTGCACCCGAGCACTGCGCATTGCCTGTTCAACTTCCGCGCATCTCAATCTCCACCTGCGCCGCCTTTGCACCAGCCAAGGTCGCATTCAGAGCCTCGGAAGCAGCTCCCGCTTGCTGGCGCAGCTCCGCACCCTCTTTCCCGAGTCACCACGCGACAAAGAGTTCCATTGTCTCCGAAACGCCTACGCCTGCGCGATCCGTAATAGACATCTCCTCCGCGACGAGTCTATCATCTCTAACAATCCACCACAGAACTATCACCAACTGCAGCCATGGCGGACGACGCCGAGCTTGCCTTTCTCCAGGCGCAGCAGGACGAGTACGACCCGTCGGCGTATGCAGCAAACACTGCGCTCGCCGGTCAAGAAGAGTACGACCCGAACATGTCCTACTCTCCACGCGCATCCGAGCAGTCGGCCTCGATGCCAGAATCTGCAAACAACACACCCCCGGCCACTGAAGGCCAGGGCGAGAACGGGCTGCTGCCCCAGTCTGCCCCAGCTTCTGCCGAGGTCTCAGCTGCGCCAACGCCGTCGAAGCGACCGCGTACCGTGGGTGGTTTTGTCGACGAGAGTGAGGACGAGGACGAGGAGCCTGGTGCGCAGCCGGAGGCGGCAAGCGCGAACCTGCTGAATGCTCCAGGAGCTGCTGCATCACCACAGCGTTCATTTACAAACACACCAAACAATACACTTCCCACACCAGATGTACAGTTACATAGTGCACAAGATCAAGGTGCTGCATCCTTCTCTGCTTCTGTCACTGTCCATGAGCCTGCTCCTTCTCCTGCTCCTAGTCTTCTCAATGGCACTACGCCTGTTCCAGATGCTACTAAGCCAGGTGCTCCAGATTCTCTGACCGTCGCTTCGGCGCGCCAGTCCGCAGCTCCACCCACACCTGCTCCCATTTCTGCTTCTCTACCAAAGGCCCGTCTTCCACAGGACCGTGTTGGCATCTTTGAAGACCGCATTGCTGAAGACCCGCGTGGTGACATCGAAGCCTGGTTGAGTCTAATTGAGGAGCACCGTAGGCGACATAAGCACGATGATGCACGAGCTGTCTTTGAGCGCTTCCTTGCAGTCTTCCCTACAGCGGTAAGCTATTCTGGTCATGTTTCATCCAATTGCGCTAATATGTCTAGGGTGAGGAATGGGTCGAGTACATCGCCTTCGAGACCGAGCTTGACGAGCTGTCAAAGGTGGAGCACATCTTCGGTCGCTCGGTGCTGCTAGCCCCCTACGTAGCATTATACTCCTCTTACATCGACTTCATAAGGCGCCGCTACAACTTGACCACTGATCCCAGTGGCGGGAATCGCCAAGTTGTTATACAAGCGTATGAGTTCGTACTTGGTCAAGTCGGAATCGATGTTCTCGCTGGAAAGCTTTGGCTCGATTACATCGAGATGCTCAAGACTGGGCCAGGAGTACTTGGCCAGACAAGCTGGCAAGACATGCAAAAGCAGGACACTTTGCGCAAGGTCTATCAGCGGGCCTTTGCGATTCCCCATAATGCTACATTGGACATCTGGCAAGCTTATACCAAGTTTGAGCAAACCTACAACACCTCTACGGTACGTCTTCTCCTTACGCACAGCTCACTATGACCTACAGCTAATGTGATTGGTAGGGTCGCAAAAACATTCAAGACCAGTCCTCTAATTACATGAACGCACGAAGCGCCATCAACGTCCTCGAGAATAACATCACGAGGGGCGTGAATCGAACCACTCTACCCAAGTTACCACCCGCACCAGGTTTTGATGGTCACGAGGATTATATGAATCAGGTCAAATTATGGAAAAACTGGATCCAATGGGAGAAGAACGACCCGCTCGAGTGCGCAACTGATGACCGAGACCTCTATAACAAGCGCGTGTTGCATGTGTACAAATGTGCCCTAATGCCTCTTCGCTTCTGGCCAGAACTTTGGTATGAAGCAGCCGAGTGGTGCTTCGACAACGGGCTACAGACGGAAGGCGGCAAGTTCTTGACCGATGGCATCGAGGCCAATCCGGAGAGCTGCCTTCTTGCCTTCAAGAGGGGCAGCCAAGTGGAGCTACGTACAGATTTTGAGGATGGTCAGGCGGGTGTCATTGCCAAGGGCAAGGCCGTGCGAGAGCCATACATGAAGCTCTTGGACACTCTCTATGACCTTACAGCACAAGTCAAGAAGAGAGAGGAGCACTCGATTGTGCGAGCCAGAGAACAGTTCGAAGCACAAAAGGTCGCGGACGAGGCTGCCCGCGCCATTGCACGGAAGAATGCCGATGACGCGGATGATGACGATGACGAGGTGGAAACTGCAAGACGTCTGAAAGAGAAGGAGGATGCTTTCAATGCTCAACTGCAGGCCATTTCCGCCGGATACAACGCGCAAACCCACGTGCTCAAAAAGACCCTCACTTATGCATGGATTGCCTTGATGCGGGCTATTCGACGAGTCCAAGGCAAGGGAAACCCAAAGGAGGATATAGCTGGTTTTCGCGGCGTGTTCACGGAGGCCCGTAAGAAGGGCAAGCTGCTTAGTGAAGCATACGTTGCCAGTGCGCTCATCGAGCACCATTGTTACCAAGATCCTGCTGCACAGAAAATCTTCGAGCGTGGCATGAAGCTCTTCCCGGAGGATGAGCAATTTGCGTTGGAGTACGTTAAGCACTTGATCAAGCTGAATGACTCAACCAGTAAGTTCCACCACGTCAATTCAGATGCCTTGTACTGATCTAGCTAGATGCTCGTGCCGTGTTCGAGACCGTCGTCGGAAAGCTGACAGCAAAACCGGAGAACATTCAGCGCGCCAAACCGCTATTTATCTTCTTCCACGACTACGAATCGCAATTTGGCGAGCTCACCCAAATCACCAA